TTATGGAGGCCTCATTCTGCTCTCCAACTCTGTCTTCCAGGTCAGTGTGCTGGGTACGCTGAGAATGGCTGTTCTTGCTATTAAAGACTGAGGCAAAGAAGACATTCAGTACCTCAGCCTTTTTCTCATTCTTTGTTGTTGGGGCCTGGCTAGCAGAGGAGCTGTAACTTGAGCAATGGTTAAAGGAATGCTTAAGCAATTAAAAACAAGACACACAAAAGAGGTCTTGCTGACCTTGTTTCTATCTTCATGCATTCCTGTGTCTTCAGTCCAACACCTTATAATGGTCTTGTTCTCTCCTGCTGCCAGGGTTTTAAGGTTTCATTTTGGTTTTGCTGCCTTATAGATAAGATAAGTCATCTGACTAACAAGCTGGGAATAGTGCTGTTGTCTAGGTTCTCATGGACACTGTGTAGCTCTTGTTATCAGTTTCCCAGGATGTGAGAGCAGGATGCAGCTTAAACTTGAAACCTATCATAAGTAAGAACTGCACACATTGACAGGTTGAGCAACCAATCCAAAGTTGTGTGATCAGCACGTAGCTGCATGTACGGGAGACATTTTACTATAAATACTGTTAGGTGCCCTAAATAAAGTTGGCTATCAGAGCATCATATTGGTGTGCTGTAGTCCGTCCCTCGCAAGGACCCCAACACTTTGTCATTATGTTTCCATCCACATCCAATAAAGGATGGATAGTCTACTTAGCCCCCCTTTTGTTGTTGATGTATTTATAGAAACAGTTTTTAATGTCTTTTACAGCAAGTCAGATTAAGTTCTAGTTGGGCTTTAACCCCTCTGATTTTCTCCCTGCACAACCTCCCAAAATCCTTGTAGTCCTCCTGAGTTGCCTGCCCCTTGTTGCATAGATCATAAACTCTCCTTTTTTTCCTGAGTTCCAGCCAAAGCTTTGTGTTCAGCCAGACTGGTCTTCTTCCCTGTCAGCTTGTCTTTCAGCACATTGGGATGGCCTATGTCTTTAAGATTTCCTTCTTGAAGAATGTTCAGCCTTCCTGGACTCCTCTGCCTTTCAGGACTGCCTCCCAAAGGACTCAACCAGGCTCCCAAACAGGTGGAAGTGTACCTTCCACAAGTCCAAGGTGGCAGTTCTGCTGACTCCCCTCCTTATTTCTGCTATACCAGGCAGGAACTGGTCGCCATTGTCCCCTATATCTTAAGCAGAGACAGAATAGGGAAGGCACCATATCATTTCCCTTCTGTCTGACAGGTTTGTCGCAGGGAAAGTAGGGTGTGATTCCAGTAGTCTCTCTCTCTTGCCTTTCCTGATACTCCTTAACAACCTACTCACCATGTCCTGGAGCTCTGTCACTAAGCAGTTCCTCTACCTGGGTGCACCTCCCACAGGTATGCTCGCTGCTGCTGTTCGATACTGGCATAAGAGTAGGGCACACCCTACACCCTGACACTTGGGTAGCAGTGTGTTCCCATCGGAGCTCTGTCTGGAATGCTGTGTCAGTCATGGTGGGTGCAGGGCTTAGAGAGGCCATGGCTTTCTGCCAGGTGGATACCACTGCTCCCTGGTTGAGTTGGCAGAGCTATAGCACCCTTCCTGCATGCCCTTCCATGCAAATTGCCCTGTTGGCTTGCCCTGGTCACTAGCACTCCCTAGGGGTTTCTTTTATACGAGGACGGGCGGTTTGGCCAGTGATGCTCCTGGCCCCACCCAGGTCCTGTCAGCAGCTGTAGTGCAAGCTGCAGGATCCTGGCAGCTCTCATGGCTCCCCCAGGGTCAGGAAACCCTCCTGTGCTATCAATCATGCTGGCATCGGAGCTGCTCACCTTGATGCCTGAGTATTTATCTTGAAGGCACTAAGCCGATAAGAAGTCTTGTTACATGAAAAAGTTTTATTAGCAGAACCAGATCATGGAAAGTTCAAAGAATTTTAGAAAATAGTACAAATGAAGCAGAGTAGCAATTGTCAGTATAATTTCTATATTTCATGGTACTATGTAGAAAAGTTATTAAAAATAAGGCCCAAATTAGAATTTTGATATTGCTACAGGCTGTCACTAACAGGGGATCATGTGATCAGAGAATTATTACAAACTATTTTTACTTAATATTCAGACTATGAGGCACATTACTAAAGACAGAAGTTTTAAAGTACTTTCTGTACTCCTTCAAAAGCCATCATTCAATTGTGAAATCAATTTTCTTAGGATTATATTAGGTTTTGGTAATGGACACATACACATGCAGACATGGCAACATCTGCAGGAGTAGCCTCTATGAGAAGAAGTCAGGGGCTGCCCTGTGTCAGACACAGCTGGTTCCAACAGGCTTGGCAACGGTCCCACTGCAAGCTAAAGTTGAGACAATCAGCAAAGTTTATGGTGCCTTTTTGAAAACATGTTTAGGAAAGAGCAGAAAAACCACCACTGGCCAGGCAGGGGATTGGAAAAGTGTGAGAAACAGAAGAGGAAACACCAAGTTCAGAAATTGAGGTATTCCATGGTGATAGAACAGATATCCACACTGCAGCCTGTGTAGGACCCATGCTGGAGCAGTTAGATATTTCCTGAACGAAATGTGGCCCATGGAGAACCCACACAGAACCCATGTCAGAGCAGAGTTTTCCTGACAGGACTGTCTCCCCTGGAAGAGCCCATGCTGGAGCAGACTTTCCTGACAGAACTGTGACCTTTAGAGGACCTACGCCAGAGCAGAGGGAAATTAATACAAGAGAACAACCATTATGTATGGATTGTAAACTCCCTTCCCTCATTTGCCCTGCACCCTGGGGGTGGTGAGTGGTAGAGGAGTCTGAAGTGAAAGAATGAATTTGAGCATGGGAAACGAGGAAAGAAAGGTGTTGTTTTAATGTTTGTCTTCTTGTTTCTTACCACCTGAATCTATTTTAATTGGCAATAAATTAATTTTGTACGAGTCAAGCCTGTTTTGCCTGTGATAGTAACTGGTAAGCAATCTGCCTGTCTTTATCTTGACCCATGAACTTTCTCATTCTATTTTCTCCCCCTGCCTCACTGAGGAAGGGGAGTGAGCAGGTGGGTGGGAGTTTGGCTCATAGTCAAGTATAATTCACCACAACAAGTTAGTTTAAAGTGTGATCATAAATTCACAAAAGGGTAAGTACAGTGACAGTTAAGTGGCAGATAGAACCTCCACCTCAAAGTCCTTCAACTGCCAACTATAAGAAACATGGAAGATTTTATACTGTGCACTATTTCCTTATGCACCAAGAGTGGAAAGTATGAGACCCAAGAGACTACTGACTGATCTGACACAAATAGGGTCAACTTTATATTCACAGAGATCATCACTACCCATTGACACTGACAGAGCATTCAAAAGAATTGCCCTTTTGCAGCTGACCCATAACCATAGGGTCAATGGTTAACTACCATTTTAGTTAAGAAGGGTTTAGAAAACTAATTCACACGGCTCATTTTATCCCTTCCACAGTTAGTGGACTATGTCCTGCTCCATCCTGCTGGCTCTTCCCTCCCCTGTGAACTTTTGAACCTAGTTTAGAATCTCTCCTATGACCTTCAAGTGCCAGTAGACTCCGTTCCTCTTTTTCTTTAAATGAGGAATGTAAAAGTCATCATAACTAAATGAATGACAAAGTATGCATTACAAATTCATGGTCTGCTGTAACAGCTCATAGTAGTACCAGGATACATTTTTAAAGTGACTCATATCTCACTTGTTTACTATAAACATGTCTACAGTGCTACTTACTGAGCGTTTCAAAAATGTAAGCAATGAATATCAAATAAAACCAACTCTCTACTAGTGTCTGTCATTCTCAGAGAAGTCAGTGAGCAGCACATAAAGTCATGGTTTGGTTCTAAATAAAACCTTTACTAAACAATTCTTAAACAATTAAACTAGGCTAAATCAATATAAAACTCAGTTGGGTGCTTAAGTTAAATGCCTAAAAATCATGTGACTTAGGATCATGACTTAATATGCCCCATAGAAGCCTTTATGCTAACAAATATACAACCTATTTAGGTATTTAAATAAGTATATCAAAACAACAATAAAGACAAATCTAGCCACCCTCAAGTACAAAAGGCAACCCACCTCTGATAGTCTTCCCATCATACACTCCTTTCTCTGAGCGGTTGAAAAAGAACAAGAGAAATTAAATTTTAACTCTACCTGTCTCTAGACAAATAAATGTTTATCTCTGCCTTGTAAGGAGATAGACAAGACTGAATAATGAAGAGTTGGTGGAAGGAATTAAAGTAGTTTTAGATCATGTGGTGTATCTGGAAAATAGTTAATACTAATTCAAATGTTAATCACAGAAGATATTTCTACCAGACAAATTGCTTTGGATTGATGCCTGTTGCATATCAGCACTATAGGACTTCATACTCAAACTATAACTAATAGCATTTGAATAAATTTCACCTTTCCCCAGCTTATTTTAGAGTTCACCCACCAGAGATGTAGCCAGATGCAACATCTAGCTGTTACATGCTAAGGTAAATTATGTCTCAGATACTACCTCTGTCTTCTCACATTTACTCATAGCAGCATTTAGCTGCTACTAATTCAAATTGTAGTCGAAAGAATAATACATGTGATGAATGTATAGTATAAGCAAGTAACCTTCACACAAATAGCAGCCATACTACAGTACGTTCTTTATTTGTAAAAAAAAGACAAAAAATCCTTTTCAAAAACTAAAGCTGTAATGAATCCTAAAGTACATATGCCAAATTTCTTGGCTTGCAATCTCTTGTTTTTGAATTCTAGATTACATAATTGTATTGACAGAATAACTTCTCTCAGAGTAACATTCAAAATGATGTTTAGAGCTGTACCAATGGTGCATTCTTTCCCACTGTCCTCCTAAAAGAATTAAAGTCTGACTCTACACACATACACTGTTTGAATACTGCTCCACATTATTTTCAAAATGACTGGAACAATATAGATACATTTCTAGAATGGTACTTCCAGTTATTGAGAACAATACTTCAGGACGATATTAGCAACTTACTTGTGGGAATTTCTTTTCTTCATCATGCTCGCAGAGACTCCTGCATGACCTACAATATAAATGATGGAATTATTGAACAATAAAATGTGTTTATACACAATGTCAAAAAGGTATCATAGATAAAAGTACTCTCTTTCAAGTAAAAAAGATTAAACACTTCATGTTGTGATTTATCAATGAGCTCCTACAATGGAAGAAGGCTGAGGAGACAGGTAAGGACTATGTACTCACGAAGCTAAATGAAGAAGTAGGGAGTTACTGATGACAACTGTTACAAAAAGCTAAATTTAACACAAAGGAGACAGGAGGTAGTCTTTGTTCTACATAAATGGCTACAACAGTTGAGGGAAACAAATAGCAGTGTATCTGCCCCTGAGTTGATAATCATCATCATCATCATCAAATACATATATTCCTGAGTTAATGAGGCCAGAGTGGGTGGGTGTATACATGGCTCAGTCAAACTGATTATTAAAAAAATAGTATAGAGCCAAAATCAAGTATAAAGACTCAGAATAGTATATATAAAAAACCCCTGTATAACTAACAGAAAGAACTCTGAAGAGAGCAACAGGCCTGAGTTGGTTTCTGCTGGGGGGGGGGACAGCCTCGCGTGGGGAAGC